ACCAAACATACCCTTAGTATTTTCGATTTTGACCGTTTCCGAGCATCTAAATCTAAACACCCAAAATTGGAGGGAAATTTTGAAGGAGATGGTCAAGGAAAATGATTTGTACCGACTAGAAAGACACAGGGAAAGGACAAGATCTACAGAACAACCAAAAAAAAAGGGGAAAAAGAAAAAGAACAAAAGAGTAAAGAGAAAATGTTTCCCAATTTTCAATAGAATCACGTGCATGCTGGAATCCATCATCTTCTTATCTTCTATCCCAGCTAGTGTCCTTTTTTTTTTTTTAAAGAAAAAAAAAAGATAAAATATGTTTCAGTCACTACGCCAACAGGGTGTAGTTGAGAGGGTAAGAGTATTGAAATATACATAATGAATTTTTTAATGTTAATTCACTGAGATTACATATGAGAATTTGCATAATTTGAATCATATTTCTTTTGTGCAGTCTGAATTAACTCAACAAAAACGAAAAATTGGATCTTTACCACGAACTTAAAATATAGAAATACTTATATAATTCAAACGGCATAAAATTAGCTATATTTTTTACTAAATTTTTTGATATGCAAAAGTCATATTATATCTAATTAATTTGGAGTCAAAACTATTCCAACTCCGTAACAAAAAACTCTTCTACCCTTTCTCTCCATTCACAAAACACATACTCTTTCGGAGCAATAGATTGTTAGTATAAAACTAACTATTAACTATAAAATTAGTTATTAATCAACTATTGATTCCCGCATCAATGGCTGCCTTAATAAATTTCCCGTTTTGGCCTTTGCTTCCATGGCCTATGCCCATTCCGAGACTGAAAAGCTGAAAACTGAAAAGCAGCCAAAAATAGATTTTCTGTAAATTCTGTAAATTGAGAACCAGAGAAACTTCATTGGTCAAATCCCAAATGAGGCAATATTAGTTTTTAAAGCGAAAAAGTTCCATCTTGATAAATCTAAGGGTGAAAAGTTGCAGGAAAACCTCATAGAAGCAGTAAATTTAAATACTATGTAACAGTAATATATAATACCACAGAGGTGCGTTGATATACAATGGATTTACTACATTAATTACTACCAGATCAGAGTTTCTCTAACACATTTCATGTGTTTAAGCTTTGTTTTACACTGGAGAATTTCAAGTGTTCAAGAAAAAGAAGAAAGAGACATTACTGTTGACTGGGAATTGAAGACAGCAAAGCCATCCTCATCTCCAAAACTTTTTTGTGTGAATTGGAATGCAAGTAGCTCACAAAAGTTGGGCTTTTAGCTGGCCTATACTCTGGCAGCAACCTTCCTGACTTGTACCTTACCCCACATGCATTGCACAGTGTCTTTGGACCCAATGGTCCAGCCCTCCACTGTGGAGTCTTTTGAGCCAGGCAATGACTGCACCTCCTTGGTTGTTGTCCACTCCCAACCTCCAAACTCCCCACTAAACCCTCTCTCACCATCACCACCTTTGCTTCCTCTTCTTCACTATCTCCCTTCATATCGTCCTTGTGTTCTTTTTTGGGCAAAATGAGTTCACTATCTGCTAACCAATATTCCTGTTGAAGCAAGGGAGGGTCAGAGCTACCCAATTGGAGGGTCTGGTTATGTGGATTTAGGTGCTTTGTCCAGCTCCAGGTTGTTGAAGGGTTAACTTTGGTTTTTGGTGTTGTTGATGCCCTTCTTCTCTTGCTTCTGGTCTTGCATGGTACTGAAATTTTGTGCAGGGAAGTGGGAGTTTGATGGGGTTGCAGCTGCGGCAACTCCAAGGGTTTTGTGGGATTAGCTAGTGTTGCAGTCCGTGTGTTCTGAACACTTGTCGGTGGTGGCGCTGGCGGTGGTGCCGCCGCTGGAAGACAGTTTCCTTTGCTGGATAAACAGTCCTCAACAAATACGGATAGCCATTCCAAACTCACATCCACTTCCTGCAGTTTTTCATTCAGGCATAAAAGCAAACAGAATGAATGCAAAAACTTCATCCCATCAAACATAATCAGCAAGTTAGCTAAAAATGTGACACAACGAAAAATGCATGAAAGGTTCAAACTTTGCAGAAATTCCCAGAGAAGAAAAATTGGAAAACCCAAAAAACTAAATGAACAAATAAAAGAAAATTGAAAACAGCTGAAAACAGGGAGGGAAAGGAAGAAACTAACCGTGTTTTGAGGAGAGAAAAGGTCGTCAAGTTTAGAGCAAGGAGGGGAAAGGACCTGGTCTTGCTGGTAGTCGCCGGGGAAGGACACATTCCGGCAGAAATCCATGGGGAGTAGGAGAAAGGAAAGGAAATTGCTTGGTACTTTGGAACCCAGCCGGAGTGAAAGTGAAAGCAAGGGTAGGGAGGGGAACTGAACAGAGCAGAAAGGGAAAGTAGGAGTTGCAGTCTTCACTATGGCCCTTTTATGGCCTCGTTTTCTGTCGGCAGATAAATATGTATACATATTAACCTAAAGAAAACGGTCATCGAAGTTATATCCCAAATTTGCAAGTTTGAGTTAAAAAAAGTGCCCCATTTCCCCCTTCTATTTTTTAAGGGTGTGTGGGGCCAGTGCAACTTGATATTGTCATATTGATCTCATCCCTAATGATATCTTTTGAGGGCATACACACACATCAAATGATAACTTTATTTTTTTTTTTAAACATGATTACAAACGGAGGAAGAAGGAAATTTGTGGGATTTGAAACTGTAATTCATAGAGATAATCTCACTAACTCAAAATCAAATGTTATTGGATTGAAACTTGCGGATCCATCAAATGATAACTAATTGATTTTGTCTTTTTTTTTAAATGAAATATTTTATAATTAATTCTATAATATTCACATAATGTAAATATAAATAAAAAATAGTATCTATCAACCTTATATTCTAAAAATTAGGAGAAAAATCATTCAAAAACTAAGTCGTTTTAATAAATTTTTATTAAAAAAAACTAAACTACCATATTTTTAAAGTATGCATTAAAGTAATTTTTTTTTCATTTTTCCTTTTAATTTTTTGAAAATAAAACGAACAAACACTAATATCATATAAATATATATATATATATAATATCACACTATTTCACCTAAATTAAAAGAATTAATAATAATTTCGTCACTCTATACGGCAAAATTTCATTGGCAATAAATCATTTTCTAGGACTAATCTATTTCCTTACTATTTTAAGGATGCATTGAATTTCCTTAATTGTGACTTTGAAGTTAAACATTCCCTCAATTCTTATGTATATGTATATATAATTAACTCTTGAATAACTCTATACATAACATTAGGTGATGCTTTTAGAGAATTTTTAGGGTACAAGTAAAATGTGTAACAATTGCATATTTTTATTATTAATTATTTTTATTAAAAAAATATAAAAGTTAATATTAATTTCAACACCAATTTAATGTGATAATTGATGAAATTAAAATCTATTTCTATTTTTCAAAGTTAATTAAATAATGAAAATGAACATTTATTATACCCTTAATATGTTCTCTATAAGTATATATTAGAATAACCCATGTTACATATAAATGGCAATTGAATTGAATTTTTTTTTCTAGTATCCATGGATAATTCTTGTTGAATAGTTTTGTTTTATCAAAGTAAATTTTTAATTATCATATTTATATGTTATATGAAAACATTACATAAAGTTACATGAAAAATTACTTAAGAGTTATTTATATAAACAAATAAATAAAAATGAAGGGATTTAGTATTATTTAGCTTTTTAAAAAATATTTTTCATGTCGAATTACATATTAAAAGTGTTTTTCATGCATTGAAATTATTAAGATACTCTTGAAAAAGCTTTTCTCTAAACTAATTTATTAGTAATATTTTAATTAATAATTAAAAAGTATTGTGTAATCTGATCTGATGTGAACGACACAATTATAACTATTGATAAGGAGAGCCCCTAAATGTAGGTCTTCTTGTCCCAAAATCAAT